GGTACTGCTTTTTGGATGATCATTGGCCCTCAGATAATGATTGTGTCAGTGCATGATGACCCGAAGTCTTAGTGCAGCTTAAAAAGGGGCTTACAAGAATGAAGAACTAGCTCGCGCGGAAAAGAGATCTCTTTAGTAACGAATAAAGTGCTAATCTCGCAGTCAACTGCTAAGAAGCGGCGGAGAGAGGTGTAAATCATGAGTCAGCAAGCCGGATTTCGCCGTGGAGATTTGGTGATAGGCCTGCGTTGGTGCATAAAATAAAGACTTTCCATCCGGGGCCTCTTTCGATTTAACCTTACTGCTCTATTTATCTGTTATTTTGTTTACTGCAAAGGGATTAGTTGTTTACGCTTTTTAGTTTATAAAGAAAAAGTACACTAACTATATCTTTTACCAGCCTGTATTGCTTGTCCTGATTCTCCTAGTTCGGATGGAAACCCTGATGAGACAATAGAAGAAAGCACTACTTCGAAGAAGTAATGCCTTAGTTCCTCTAGGGCCTTTAATCTTTCTATCCTTCTCATCTCATATGCAAAGAATACGGTCTTTCGGAAGAGAATACGGTGAAAGCGGATAATCCGGCGTCTGCTTATCCCTCTTTGGGTGGAGATGGTGATACAGGAGGTGTTGTGGCTTTGGTGGAAGGATGGGAAGATCCCCCAAAAGGTAGACAGACTCTCTTTTAGTTTGGGATGGGATCCGCGATCCGTTGTTTCGGGATAGACTGGATCTCTTGGTCCGAATTCTTCTTCGTATGTTTCCACACAGATTTGAAGAATGCCTATGCCGTAACCCGCCTAGCCGCCCTTCCCATTAGATGAAAATAGGAGAAAATAACGTGGTCTTCGGTCGGGACAGGATCAACCGCTCTTTCGTCCTTCACGCTCTTCTGCCTACTTCTTCCTATCTCTACTTCTACCAGGATCGATGGTTTCTTGTTGGCTTAGCTTGCTTTATTGTTTGAAAGGAATGGCTTTACCAGGATTTGGAAATGAGATTAAAGGTTGGTTACCTGGACTTAAGAAGGTCCGTGTCCCTTCAAGAGGACTTCTTCGCACTAACCAACTCGAGATCTTAACCTAGTGACACACGAAAGATAAGATTAAACGACTCGGCTCGCGGAGGATAAGAAACCCTCCTTTCATCGAAATATGCCCTAAAAGATTCAATTGCGGATCGTGATCGAAATAGTTTGTTCGTTCCCATGGATAATCATAAGCGTGATCCATCCACCTACTCCTACTCCTACTTTGTTGAATTATAAATCGAAACGAAAGACTCTGCCTTTATCCTAGAACCAGAATATCTTACAAAAACCTCGGCCAAACCGAACCGAGCCAAGCCAACCTTGTTGCCCTATCCCTGTCCGATCTCTTCGCTACCGATTCAAATCGTTCTTCAGCTTTCTCCCCGATCAAACTACGCTCCTCTTTGAGATATATAAAATCCTCTCCGCAGCGCAGGTGTAGACTGACTGGGGGAATATATCGCTCAACGGGGCAAAGAGGGAGAGCAAGCCCTTCCTTATGAAGCGGAAAGAGGTCGAGATGCGGTGTCTACTCATTCACATCGGCGAGGAGACGCTGTGCATACTTTAACCCTTGTCATTTATCTATATCTATATGATTCAAGTCAAGGGGTGTGGGCCTTGCCATGCATATAAGTCGGCAGGGAAAGGGAATAGGTTAGAGACAGAGGTTAGGGACGATTACGAGTGCCAGTTCTGGTTCTTATGAGTAGAAGAAGAGGAGATTAATAGCCCGAGCGAGAGCTCCCAAGCCGAGTCCGTGCTCTTTCAGTATTCAGTAGTGTTGGTAAATTCTTTGATATAGTTAGTGTTCCGCGAGTGGGAGAAGGAGAAATCCGAGATCAAATAGAACCGCAACACCCCCGAGGGCCTTTTCATAAAATTACATAAGAGAGGGACAAATGCCGTCCCTTGCTTCTTTCTCTGTGAAGATAGACTGCTGTTTATTGCTTTGCGTGTCAAGTGCGAGATTGGATCAAAAATAGCGTATGAAAGGATTATGGTCTATCTAGTACAGTACGATCGATCAAGTCATTCAGTAAAGTCTCTTAGCTAGGTCTTTATGGAATTCTATCTATTAGCAGGTCGGTCTAGTTCCTAACCTTGATGGTTGAATTGGAATTAATGTACAATAAGAAGAGAGGCGAAAGAAGTTCGATAGCCATACTAGTGATTTGTAGGAGACGAAAAGTCTTTAGTGAACATTTCATGGAGAAAGCTTACATGTTGGGCCAGGCTAGTTTGCTTCGATGGTAGGAGTCCACGCTGTGAGGCAGCCATTTCCAACCCGGATGGGCCCTTTCTTTGCGATCCCAGAGTTCAGGATTGACGTCCTTTATCGAGCTTCTATCTTGACACAGTTGTAGTCCCGGCTATATGATCGGCCACAGAATGGTTGGTGGTATCCGAGTCGACTATAGCACACTAAGCAACCTGCCATTGATTAAAACAAAAACATCGATCGACCTT